CACGTTTTCTGAAAAATTTATTCTATGCGTGGACAAACAAGGCGTGCGACCGCACGCCTTTCCTGGGAAAGCCTGATATATATATATATATATATATATATACATATATATACATATATATATCAGCCCTCAGAAAAATGAGATTGCTTGTAAATTCCTTAAACTGTTAGAGATCGGTATTAAGTCAACAAATAAATTTTTGACACAGGTTTTACCATAAAACATAGAAACGAGGTCTGCAATTTTTGCCAAATTCAAACACTTTTATGTAAGCAGTTAGGTTGGCATTGTGTATATATATATATATATATATATATATATATATATATATATATATATATATATATATATATATATATATATATATATATATATATATATAAATGAGTGTAGCAACACTCCTTTTCGGCAGCAAGTTATATTATAGTCTATATATGTACTGAAGCCCCTGGTAGCAGGCTCTTTCAGTGTGATGTCAGAGATGTTATTTAAACATGCATTCGTAGTTTTATTCATTTTGTTGCTGCGGTGAGCAAATGCTCACTGTGTGGTAATCTAGCAGCAAGTTTAAAAACTACAGTTTAAAATTTTAATTCACATAATAAAGTTCTTCAAGACTTTTTTTAAAGTTTAACATTGACTTATTAAGTTCTACATCAAACGGCAAATTGTTTCAAATCAAAATAATACGATTGGAAAAAAAATTTCTTCTACTTGAGTGTCTACAGGTCTCAGAAGTATATCTATGATTGTGGATATAGTTACAAACACTTCCAGCTGGTCCAGTTGGTCGACAAAAGTTCCTTAGGGAAGATACTGTATTTAGCTGATAAGAATTGTTAAGACATTTAAAAAAATTAATTAAATCACATCTTTCTCTCCTCATAGATAAGGTTGTTAAATTAAGTCTATTTAATCTTTCCTCATAAAGAAGCTCTGAATATCCTGGAATCAGTCTTGTTGCTCTATGTTGAACTCCTTCGATAAGATTAAAGTCTTTTTTTAAAAATGGGTTCCAAATAGAAGACGCATATTCTAGATGAGGATGCACTAGCGAAACATATAACAATTTAAGTATATCAGCATTTAAAAATGAAAACGTGTTGCATAAGACCTAAAATTCTATTTGCTTTAGAAACACGCAGATATATGATGACCATATTTCAGATCGCTTTTAAGCATGATACCAAGATCATTTACACAATCTACCATACTCAATTGATAATGAGAAATGTAATATTTATTGATATTTTTATTTAATTTATTAATTTTATTGACATGGATTATTTTACATTTTTCTATATTTAGTTGCATACTCCAGTCATAGCACCAATTAAAAATAGAATTTGTCATCCTGTAGATCACTGATTATGTGAAAATTTTTGCAATCATCAGCATAGAGCTTGGAATTTTTTTTTAGTTGAACCAGTAGATCATTGATATAAATTAAAAACAAAATTGGTCCTAGAACAGAGCATTGTGGTGCACCACTTAAAACATTAAGCCACTTAAAAGCTATGTCTTCAAGAACAATTTTTTGTCTTCTATTTGATAAAAAAGATTCAATCCATTTAAGAATGTATCCCTTTATACCGTACATTTCAATTTTCAATATAAGTTTTCTATGGTGAACTCTGTCAAATGCTTTAGAAAAGTCAGTAAAAAGTATATCAATAGGATAACCTTGATCTACTGCTAGAGTTACAATATCTTGGCTTTTAATTAAATTTGTAAAGCAAGATTTACCTGGTAAAAAACCATCCTGATTCTTATTTATCAAATTATTATCTAAAAGATGCTGAATGATGGTTTTTTTTTTATATCCCTTCTAAAATTTTGCATATAACCAACGAAAGAGAAACAGGCCTATAGTTGAAAGGATCAAGCTTATCTCTATTTTTAAAAAACGGAACTATGATTGAGTTTTTCCATGCTTTTGGTACTACTCTCGATTCAAGTGATAGCTTAAAAATATGTTCAATAAGAATACTCAGACTTAAAGAACAGGTACTCAGTACATACGGATGGACTTCATCGTTCCCACAGGATTTGTATTTATCCAATGACTTTAACTGTACAAGAATTTCTTTTGAACTTATATCATTTTCACAGTGAATATGAGTAACAGGATCAAAACTCGGTAAGGCTTTGTTATCATCTTCAGTAAATACAGGTTGAAAATATGTGTTTAACAAATTTGTAATATCTAAGAGGTTATCACTCACAGTTTCATTTGAAAACCTTAAAGTGCGAATTCTTTCTTTATACTTTTGTTTGCTGTTCACGTATGCATAAAATCTCTTAGGATCTTTATTTAGAACTTCTAGCTAAGTCATGTTCAAATTGTTTCATAGCTAATTCAATAGAATGTCGTGTCTTAGTTTTAATAAGTTTATATTTTGCTAATTTTGCTTATTTTGCCGGGTTATTTCTGCCTGATGCAATAAAATTAGACTATATATTTTTTTGTTTTCATTAATTAGTTTCTTTATATCAGATGTAATCCAAGTTTGTCGAGGTTGTCTGTATTTTTTAGAACGAGGGATAAACTTGTTACAGGCCACTGTATATAATTCTAAAAGTTTATCATAACACTGATTGATATTTCTATCCCCAAATACTGCTTTCCAATTAATTGAATTTTTTTTTTTTTTTTTTTTTAATTATTCACCTCCCCAAGGCCTGAGGGGGCCACTACAGTTGAGGAGGCTACTCATTTTTTTTTTATTTTTTTTTATTTTTTTTTTTGTTGTAAATCGTGGTACAACCCTATTAAAATTAACATTAGTTTTAAAAATAAAATTAATTAAAATATTTTATCAAGAATGTTAGTCAAATCTTTATCCGTCTTTTGAAATGTTGGAAAAAGTACATTTTATGACAAAAAGCAGTCATTTATAGTTTCTGTGAAGTGAAATTCTGAACTATTTAGATCTGAACAAGTACCAATGAAGACATCATCAACCCATTTTTTATTCGGATAATTAAAGTCTCCGGTCAACAAAAGACCTGTAAAATAACATAGTTCAATAGAGTTAATTTCAAAAGTTATAAGATCTTTTAGTGTATAGATACAAACTCCACCACCTCATTCGTTAATTCTGTCTTTTCTAAAAATATTGTAACCATCCAGGTTTGACACTGATTCAGCATTAAATCACATTTTATAATGGTGACCATTATAACATAACAGTAAAAAAAATAGTCAACAAAATAAACAATAAACAAAATATTTTCTTCTTTTAATTTTACAAAAATTACTCTAATTATAAATTTTAGCACTAGAGGCCTTTCAAAAAATCATCAGTAGTGCTCCTGAATTTATCATTGAATCAACAACATACTTTATTTTAAAAAACAACAACTTTCTATTCAACGACCAAATGTTTCGGCAAATTATTGGAACAGCCATGGGTACGAATTTCGCTCTAGATTATGCATGCCTAACAATTGGATATTTAGAAGAAACAAGACTTTTTCCTAAGATTTTACCTAAATACTTTTCCAGTAAAGATGTAAATGACATACAGCAATTTTATTATAGATATATTGATGATGGTTTCTTAATCTGGCCAAAATATTTAGATATTGTTAAGTTTAAAAACTCTTTGACCGAAATAGATAATTCAATCAGTTTTACGACTACTTAGACTACAACAGCCATCATTCTTATCATATAAAAAAGAACATCCCTTATGGCCTTGCTAAAAAAATAATTGTTTTCACATCTGATTCCAGTAAAGAAAAATAACGTTTAGCAGAACTAAAAACGTGGCTAAAAGAATGCAAATATCCTAATAATATTATTGAAAAAGCATTTCACGACACGAAACTCTAAGGACCAGCTCCCCAAAATCAATTAAAAGAAATTTTTCTTTTAGTTACAACTTTTTACAGCAATCTGAACTGCCAATCTTTTATTACTGAAACAAATCTTTTGCTTAATCTATCTTCAAATGAAAGAGTGAAAAAAGTTTTTCCTAATGTCCAACCAGTAATTGCGTATAAACAACCACCCAATTTACTGAAAACACTTCTTCAAAAATTCAATCAACCACTAAAGAAGTAGGATTATGTAAATGCAATGATTATCGTTGCAAAATATGTAAATTTTACCTTCAAGAAGTTAAATCATTTACGACATCATATGGAATATAAAAAGCCATATTACTTGTAATAGTAAGAATGTAATATATTATTTAAAATGTTTGTCATGTAACAAGAAAGCTACATACACCGGAAAAACAAATAACCTACGACTTCGCACTAATGGGCACATTTCTAGTTGTAGAACTGGGCAATCAACAGATAGGTTTGATAACCATGTATACAGTTGTCAATGTGCGCATAACTCCATTATAGAACCTTTTTTCCAGCTTTTTGTATTTGTGGAGCTAAAAAATGAATAAAACTTAATTTCTTATGAGAAGCATTTTCACAACCAAAAACATGATACTTTTAATTGACATTACAATATAGATTACAATAGTTGCTAACAGCAACATTAAATAATTAACATTTCCTGTTTGTTTTTTTTAATTATATTTTGTTGTTATAATAACAAAAACAGCACTACTGATGATTTTTTGAAAGGCCTCTAGTGCTAAAATTTATAATTAGAGTAATTTTTGTAAAATTAAAAGAAGAAAATATTTCGTTTATTGCTTATTTTGTTGACTAATTTTTTTACTTATAGGTTATAAACATATTTCAAGTTATATATGTATATATGTGTATGTATATGTATATGTATATATATATATATATATATATATATATATATACATATACATATATATATATATATATATATATATATATATATATATATATATATATATATATATATATATATATACATGTATATATATATATATATATATATATATATATATATATATATATATATATATATATATATATATATATATATCTGTGTGTGTGTGTGTGTGTGTTGATGTTGGTTATATTTTTTAAACTCCTAATAATGTAATTTATAGGCTTTCAAGGAGTGGAGTGTACAACACATATTTATGACTATGCCCTACCTGAGCTGATTGCTGCTCAAGAAAGTACAAAACTAAAACAAGTTCAAATGAATTTTTTTTGCGGTGAGTAGTAATTTAGTATTACTTGATTATTTTAATATTGATATTTTTTTACTAAAAGGTTTTAGTAAAAAAATTTGATTTTTTAGTTTCAAAGGAATTTATAAATATAAAAAGTTTAAAACCTTAAAATAATTTATAAATATAAAAAGTCATTAAAACCTCTTAAAGTTATATTGTTAGAAGATAATAAATGGCAAGATAGTGTGTAATTGATGTTCTCTTTTGTTTAACTATACTTTTCTTGGGATCTTATTGCAACCAAAACAAAAAAAATATTTTTTGAAAGGTTTAAATAATTAAATTTACGATGTGTTACAAATATTTTTTTAAATTAAAATAATGGTAATAAAAATAATTATTATTATTTCAAACTAAACTTTAAAAAAAAAAAAATTTGTAATTGAAATTGTTGTTTCAATTTAATTTGGAATTTTTACTTGTAGCAAAACAAATTTCTTACTAAAAAAATGTAAATGTAAATTGCGTTATATAAACACAAATTACTAAAATAATAAAATATGAACTTATTTGCATAATATAAGTAATTATAAAAATTATTTATCATTTAATGTAAATTGTGTTATGTAAAAGATGCATTATTTAAAAATCATGTATTTTTATAAAAAATTTTTAAAATTCTTTTAAAAAAATAAAGCACAAATATTTACTCTGACTATTACACATTTTTATACACTATTACATTAATTTTTAGTTGAAATAAAAAAATTTGTTTATTTTAAATTGTTCATTTTAAGTTAATAGATTATTTAAATTGTAAAAAAATACAAGGTAGTCAAGTACAATTTTTTTTCTTAAAGCTGTATTAGTCAATTTAGTTTTGCGTGGCATGGATTTATGTGAATCATTGTTTTTGTAAATACCTCACAAAATGAATTTACTGACTATTATACTAATATTTATTATACTATTATACCAATATTTATTTTTTTCTTAAATTAAAAAAATGCAAAAAAAAAATTAAAAATATAATAGTTGTCGTAAAATTTTGATTTTACGACAACTTTGACCTAATAAGTTTAAGGTAAACATTTTTACATCTTTTTTTAAAAGTTTTAAAGGTAAACCAAAAAGAACGTTCGTACAAATGTAATTTTGGCAAACACTTTCCATTTTTTGACCCAGGATGACTGCCTATAACTAGAGTTGCTATTGACCCTATTTTTGATTAGGAGAGTGTAAAAAAATGTTAATTTTAATTAGTTTAGCGCGTACAAACTGGGACAATGGTTGTCCTGTCTAAAACACTCAGTCAGTTTTCTAGTTATGGTAAAGAAAGTTTAGAGCAACTCTAAACTTTTTTTACAAAATATAATATGATAATATAATAAACAAATAAAATATTCTACAATTTTTGCTTGTATTTGTTTACTGAATTTTTATTTTTATTAAAACTTTGCGTTTACACAATTAGCACATAAAAGCTGCTAAAAGCTAAATAATTTGAAGAACCAATATCTTGTACATTAGATAATATTAGATAATAAGCTTGAATGTCATTTTAAACTCACATGGCATGATTAGCAAGTCATTTATCTGAAAGCTATCAGTTTAAATATTTTTTGTTAACTTATTGCTGTCGACATAAACATATTTAATGTAATATTATATTTAATGTATTATTAAAACACAATAGATTTATTTAAAATTTACACAAAAATTAGTTTAATCATAAAATTTATATTATAAAATTATCAATGTAAAAAAGTTGAAAATGATTTTAAGTATTTTAAATAAATATATTGTATTAAATGACAGTCGTCATTCAAAAAGTCATTTTCACATATTAAAAAGTTTAGAAAAGTTTAATGCTAATAAACAAATTTTATTTTTATTATTTTTAATATAAAAAAGTATATATATAACAAAAAAATATAGTATATATAAAAGAAAACAATATAATAACTGGCATACATATTTATTGTAAACAATCATTTAAACTTTTAGGAAAAACTTTATTTTAAAAGCAACTTGTTCAATTAAAATAGATTAGAGAATCAAACTCACTTATTTAAAGTTTAATTTCAAAGAATTTGTCTTTCAATTTTGTCTTTTCTCTCAACCAAAGAAAATTTCACAAAAAGCAGATGTAAATATGCAAAAAAAGATTGCATATAATGAAACAAGTTGAAAAATAATCCTTTTTATAATTTAACATTTTTAGATTATAAAAGTATTATTTATTTTTATTAAAACCCACAATTTTAAAAACTAATTTCATAGAACTTTATGTATCTTTAAAATTTCTAATTATTTAACTTTTGCAGAAGCCTTGAATTGCTCCTATGAATTAAGTAAGCATACCATAGCTGCTAGCCAAAGTCCCCTAACTCAATTAAACTTTTTTTTCAAATGTCAGAATTGTAAAGTAAAGTATAAATGGTCTTTTTATTATTATTTCAGTTATTTGCCAGCTGACAACAACCTAAAACAATACCGCAGAAATGCTGTATAAAACTTTTTCATTGCAAACCTTCTGTATAACTAATAATATGATAATGTAGTAATATAAAAGTACAGTGTCATAATAATAAAATTATATTTCTTTCATAATATAAAAGTACAGTGTCATAATAATAAAATTATATTTCTTTCATAATATAAAAGTACAGTGTCATAATAATAAAATTATATTTCTTTCATAATATAAAAGTACAGTGTCATAATAATAAAATTATATTTCTTTCATAATATAAAAGTACAGTGTCATAATAATAAAATAATTCCAATGATTTCAAATAATCAATTTCAAAAGATTTCAATTAAAGTAAAGTAGAATATAAGCTTGAATGAAGTTGATTTAAACTTTTTTCTGTTATTTAAATTTTAGGTCAAAACAATGGAATAGCAGCTGTCCCAAAGCGTAATGAGGAGTTTAAACAGTGTCTTGAACTATCTATACAATACTGTAATGCATTAAAATGCAAAAGGTAGATTTTTTGTCTAATGACTTATTACAACCCAAATCCAAGTCAAGTTAAAACCATCAAATAATTCAAAGATTACAACTGCAAAAGTATAAATGAACAGATGTAAAATCTATTGATTTAGTGTATTGTTCAGTTTTGCTAAAATTTATTTTTTTGATATTAATTAACTTAAATGGAATGAATATTTTGCATGGCTAATTTTAAATTGATAAAACCTTTAGAAAGGTTTTACTTGCATTAAATTTATTTACAATTTTCCATGGGAAATCATTTTTATTCATATATATATATATATATATATATATATATATATATATATATATATATATATATATATATATATATATATATATATATATATATATATATATATATATATATATATATATATATATATACATATATATACATATATATATATATATATTCATATATATATGTATATATATATATATATATTCATATATATATGTATATATATATATATATATTCATTATATATATATATATTCATTATATATATATATATATATATATATATATATATATATATATATATATATATATATATATATATATATATATATATATATATATATATATATATATATATATATATATATATATATATATATATATATATATATATTCAGGCTGGCATGGAATCCTTTATTCCCTCTCGACAATTCCAGGTCAAGCCTCACTCTTCTCCATGGTTTTCCTCACATTGTGCTGCTGCAATTGCCAATCGAAACCATTACTTCCATATCTATCAGCAAAACAATTCTCCAGAAAACAGACGTCTGTTTATTACTGCTAGGAACCATTGTAAAAAGGTTTTGTCTAACGCCTAAGCTCGCTATTCTCAGATTGTGAAATTTCATATTTCATCACAAAAATTAGGCTCTCGTGACTTCTGGAGAATCTTTAATAGTATCAATAATAAGGGCAAGTCTGTAATTCCACCTCTTTTGTATGGTTCAGACTTTCTCACCTCACAAAGCTGAATTGTTTGCCAAGAACTTTTCATCAATATCATCTCTTGATGCCACTAGTTGCTTTCTACCTGATATAGCCGTCAAACAGGTTGATGCATTGCCCGACATTCGTATCACTCCAGCTTCTGTATCTAAAGTGATTTCCCGCTTAGACTCTTCTACAGCTTGCGGCCCGGACAACATACCTGTTATAGTCTTGCAGAAGTGTTCTCCGGAGCTGTCGTCTATCCTTTCAAAACTATTTAACAAGTGCTTATCAGAGTCTTGTTTTCCAGCCTGCTGGAAAGCAGCATCTGTTATCCCTATTTTTAAAAATTCTGGAGAGCTATCTGATTCATCTAATTACCGTCCCATTAGTCTTCTTCCTATCATAAGCAAGGTTTTTGAATCTTTAATTAACAAACACTTAATCTCTCATCTCGAATCTCATAACCTACTTTCTGATCATCAATATGGATTTCGACCTTCTTGTTCTACGGCTGATTTGCTATTAGTAATAACCGATCGGTTTTATCGCGCATTAGATAAAGGTGGAGAGGTTAAGGCCATCGCTCTTGACATTTCTAAAGCGTTTGATAAAGTTTGGCATGCTGGTCTTCTCCATAAGCTTTCTTCTTATGGTGTATCTGGAAATATCTTTAAGATTATTGAATCCTTTCTTTCCAATTGTAGTATAAAAGTTGTCCTTGATGGACAGCACTCTTCTTCTTATTCTGTAACCTCAAGGGTTCCCCAAGGTTCAATCCTTGGCCCTATACTCTTTTTAATTTACATTAATGATCTTCCAGATATTCTCACATCTAAGGTGGCATTGTTCGCTGATGATACTACCATTTATTCTTGTCACGATAAGAAGCCAACTCCCTCTGATTGCTTGCAGGGGGCATCTGAGCTTGAAAAGGTTCTCACTTCTGCTACAGCATGGGCTCACAGTGGCTGGTGAACTTTAATTCAGATAAAACTCAATTTTTTTCGGCCAATCGTTATCGCAATAATTTAGACCTTCCTATATTTATGAACGGTAATGTACTCGATGAGTCTCCTACCCTTCATCTTCTAGGATTAATTCTTACTTCTGATCTTTCTTGGAAACCTTATATCAAATACGTTGCAAAATTAGCATCTGCTAAAGTTGCTTCTCTTTATCGAGCTCGTCACTTTCTTACTCTGGATTCTATTCTCTATCTCTATAAATCTCAAATCCGGTCTTGTATGGAATACTGTTGCCATATCTGGGGCGGATCTTCTAATGATGCCCTTTCTCTTTTAGACAAGGTGCAAAAACGCATTGTAAACATAGTTGGACCTGCTCTTGCAGCCAACCTTCAACCTCTGTCTCATCGTCGTAATGTTGCTTCTCTTTCTCTTTTCTACAAATGCTATAATGGGCGCTGCTCGAAGGAGCTAGCCTCTCTTGTGCCATCTACTAAATTTCATTCTCGTGTTACTCATCATTCAATCAAGTCTCATCCTTTTTCTGTTACCGTTCCTAAGTGTTCCAAAAACTCTTATTTGTCTAGTTTTTTTCGTCGAACATCAGTTCTTTGGAATTCACTTCCTTCATCTTGCTTTCCTGATTCATATAATTTGCAATCTTTTAAGTTGTCTGTCAATCGTTATCTTGCTCTCCAATCTTCATCTTTTCTTTTCCAGTAACTTCCAACACTAATTAGTGGTTGCTTGCAGCCTTGTTGGAAGCGAAAATGATTAAAATATATATATATATATATATATATATATATATATATATATATATATATATATATATATATACATATATATATATATATGTGTATATATATATATATATATATGAAAATTAGGTAAAATGAGATCGGCAGTCAATCTTTTAGAGGTCGGCAGAAAAAACTTGATACAAAAGTCTTATGATAAAACATAGAAATAAGGTCAGCAATTTTTTGCCGACCTCAAAGACCTTTAGGTCTTTGAGGTTGGCAAGGTTTGCATCATTTTCATAACTTTAGGATATGTTCAACTATTTTTTTTCTAGTATGTTTGCACCATTATAATAACTTTAGGATGTTTGTAAATATTTTTTCTAGTAAATCACATTTACTAGAAAAATTATCAATTAGTTATACAAATTATGTTTATCTGTTCAATTAATAATGTTCAATTAATAAAAAAGTTTTCTTGTGTTCCATCTGACTTCAATTATAACTTATTACTTACAACTTTTATTTCTTTTTTTTACCTTTTCTAAAAAATTGCTTATGATGCAATTGCCATTTAAAGTTGTAAGTTTATTCTGCATATCTTTACCTAGATTTATTCTGCATATCTTTACTTGGATTTATTCTGCATATCTTTACCTAGATTTATTCTGCATATCTAGATAAAACAGAGTTTGGTTTTCTTTAACTCTTATCAAATGTTTCTCCAATATCAAAAATTTTAAAAAAGTTTCAGTTATTTTCTTTATAAACTTTATACATCTGAATTATTTTCTTTATAAACTTTATACATCTGAATAATCGTTGACATCATTATTAATGAAAATGTTTCATCTTGACATCATCATTGTTTAAGAAATTTTTCATCTCATTTTTGCTTAGCATTTTTGTTATATCACTGCTTATTTCTGTAATCGATTAGTTCCATCCATTGGCGAAAACATTTTATTCAATGTCTTTTTAAAATTTGTGAAATATGTTGCTAATTATTGTTTGTAACCAATATATAGAAGTTAAATTTTGCAGCAAAAAATCAAACTTTATCAGACTTTTGAACCATGATCTCTGAATTTACCATTTAGTTTTTCAATTTTTCAAAACAATGATTAGGAAAACTTGAGTTTTCTGATTTTTTTTTATTATTGATTCAAATTATTTTCAAACTTTATATGACAATTTGCTGAATGAAATTTTTTTAAATTCCTCTGGATTCAGGGCAATTTAATTCAAATTTACAAGATATTCAATGGAATTATATAAAAATATATAAAAATGTATAAAAATAAGTTTAAGTTTTGCCAAGAAGTTATCATTCAGCAAGAGCTTATCAAATCAATTATAATTGCGTGAGAACTATTTTTTTTCTTAGTTTTTTAACACATAGAACATCATTTTATTAGAATTGCCTACATACTGATGTTTTTTGGATTTTAAATAATTTATCTATACTTAATATTGATATAGCTAATGTACTTTTTACACTCACCAAATTATTGGTTACAATTTAAGTATATATTGTATTAAATATTATTTAATAAAATTTTCTTTTTTAACATATAAATATACAAAATATAAATAAATATAAATGTATAAATAAATAAGTTTCTATTTTAATCAGTTGTATGTCGTTCAGGCATTTTCCTTGTTAATGTCTGATAAATGATATATCAAATAAATATAAATAGTTAAAAATTTAAATAAATTTATTAAAACGTTTACACAATATTTGCTAAAAAGAAATTTTAAAAATATATAAGATATACATTTATCAAGGTATAAAATTATTTTATTCAAAAAAAGTTATATAATGACTTAATTATTTAATTATTAAAAAGTTATATTAAAATAAGTACTGTTATAATGTTATTAAATTTATTTTTAATGCTATTAAAATATAAGTGTTAAAATGTTATTTAGTAATTACTACTTTACCAGAATGGGATCTTAAGTGTAACAATTAAAAAAAAAACAATGTAAACAATACTCTTTAAACTTGGTTCTTAAATTTATCAGGCTAGAATATGAAAATAAAAAACAAGGGGCAGTAGATATTGCTGCTTTCCCATGTCTTAGCTGTTTAGCACTTGTGTGTGTGTTTTAATTAAACTTCAATTCATCTTCCCAAGGCCGAGAAGATCACTACAGTTAAAGAGGCTACTTTAATTGTGGTTACAACCCTCTCTCATCTCTCATCAACAAACTGTTGCACAGAGAAACAAACTGTTGCACAGAGAAACATTATATTTTAGTTATGATTGAATATTTAGAATAAATTTTTTTGTATTTTAAAATTAGTTTTGTTAACTAACTGTGCGTGCAACCAAATCTGTACATTTTAATTTCTTTTAAAATTTTGTGAGAAATTTTTTTTGTTTTTTGTTCAACTTTTTAGATTGCACATTATGGCAGGAAAATATCCAGAGGGAGTTGAAATAACTGAAGAGACAAAGTCTACTTTTACAGAAACATTTATTGAAAATTTAACTTATGCATCACAGAGACTTGAATCAGTATGTTTATTTTTATTAAATCATTAATGTTATTGTATATTGTTGCTATATACTTATTATGTGTATTGTTGCTGGGTATTTGTTATGTATATTGTTATATTTTTATATAATTTTAAATTTAGGAACGTATTATGATTCTTATTGAACCATTATCTAATGTAGAAAACTATTTTCTGACTTCAACAAGTCAAGGTATGATTTAACTGCAATGAAAATCTTTTGTTTTAAAGTGCAAAGTATTTTAAGACCAAAGATTTTTAGAATGATATATATTACTAGCCCTGTGTCATCATTTCTTAGTTACTTCTTGATTATCAAAAAAATTGTAAAAAACTTTGAAACTTATTCTCTTCATTCATTTGTTTCATTCATTCTTTTCCATTTAATCAGGGGCTTTTCTAGACTGTTTTCAACAGTGCCAACCATATTTGGGTTACGCATACATTCAGAAATTGAGACCTTTTTTTTTTTAAATACTGTAAATTATGTTTTCCAAAAAATGCTTACATACAGCTAGGGTTTACAAAAAATTGCGTTTATAAAAAACCGCGGTTTCAGTTTAAATAGAAAAACCTGTGTTTAACTGTGTTTTTTCGATTATTCTTGTTAAATAATAAAACTTATGTAAGTTTTATCTTGCATTGTTTATTAAAAAAGTTATTTATAAAGTGTTTTAACATTATGTTTGTATTTCGAAATAAAACTTATAATAACTTATTTTTAATGTAAAAATATTTTAACGATTCATCAGATAATCATGATCTGATTTTTTTACAGAAGTTTGTGAAAAAATGTGTTTGATTTTTTTACAGAAACTGCAGAAGAGTGCTCGAAAAAATGTGTTTGACATCTGTTGATGTGGACTTTATAGAATCGCATTTTAAATTTTTTCAAGATTTTCTGTTCTTTTGTCAGTATTTCGGTACAACAAAAACTCTTGCTTAAGCCATTTGAATCGATCAGTAGATTTGGGCAAGTGTGTGATGCTATCTTTATTGAGAAGTGCATTTAATACATCCTCAAAAGAAACTTCTGATGTTGTACATGGGGCTTCAGCTAGTAGTGGTTCCTCATCATTAGAAGTCCGAAAAGCCAAAACACAAGTTTTCCAGCAAAATTTAAAGTATTTTTTAATGGAACAACTGAAGGATCTTTTAGGTGCATTGACAACTGCATAACATTTCTGTTAATTCTTTCATCAATGCACTTTTTTAAATTTGAATGCAATAAAGATGTAATTTCTGTATTCATTGCAAATAGTTTAACAAGCATGAATTCAAGAACAGTATGCTGTTGATCACGTTGCATCTTCTCTGTTAAGGAATTCCGCTGCTAGTTTATGCTGGCTCTAAAACAGCATGTAATGAAGCTAAAATCTAGCATGTTGATTACATCAAGAAATCAAAATATCTAGCATGTTGATTACATCAAGAAAATTTAATTCAGTAAATGTCTAGAATAAACATTTTATAAGTTTTTAACAAAGGTGCAGTCATTGAAAAAAAGTGAATTCCAACAATGGCGAACATCCAGGTGCAGTTCGATTTCTTTACCGAATTTCTCAGTAATTGTCTTCTGAAAAATTTGGTTACGAATTGATGACATTTTTATGAATTTCACTACTTTTCGTGCATTCATAAAAATTTTAGGGTAGTCAACATTATTCTCATTGTTTACTGATTCAAAACTAAAATTATCATTGTAAATTCCATATTCATTGTTTTCTGAATCAGTGTCCATTTTCTTGGGTAATGGTATGTATGTATTTATTTTTCTTGTGTAACAGTTTTATAGGTTTTCTTACATTCACTTTTATGCAGGTTGACACCAATGTACCTTCTGCTCCTCAAAGATGTGTATTCATCATGTGTTAAGCTGAATTTATGTCCAATTTGAATTTTTTCTATAATTTCTAACTTTACCACTTCCTTTTTATCAGAAAATTTTGAATTCATCACAGTTGTTTGACTTATAGGAAGATGATTTCCTATTTGTTGAATTGATGAGCAAATAAATTTGTTGTTAGTTATTGTATTAATCGAAACACCATCTGTGGCTAGATCAGCTACAATTTTTTTAAGGCTTGTTTTTTGTAAATAACTGTCTGTGGTTTTATATTTTAAAATTTTTTTCTTGGTAGTGAATTACTTTGAGCTGGAATTACTATTGATAGTAATTCCACAATGCAAAATATGATTCACCAAAAGAGTTGTGGATCCACTGGAGCATGTTACAACAGAACCGCATCTATTACAGATGCCTTCAACATCTCTTGAATGTGGAATTTTATGTTGGACAGCAAATTTCCAAACTGATGACATGATTTTTTTTTTTTTTTTTTTTTTGAAATACTTAAATAATTTTGAAAACAAAATACAATCTAAATAATAAAATAAAAACTTAATTACTTACAAATTTAAACATTAAAAGACGTTATAAAAAAAACCACCAAAACCGTTTTTGAAAATTGATAGTTGTAATTATATTGGTTTTGACAAAAAAAATCTTGGTTTTTGGTTATTGGTTAAAACCAATTATGGCAGTATTTCTGACAAATTTCCTTACAGCAGGCGCCAGCATGGGGGTACCATCACCAAAATTATTTTCCTAGAATAGACCCTGTTAATATTTATCAACTTTAATTTTTGAGTAAAAATATTTTTAAAATTTTAAGTTGTAATAGTTTATCTAAAATTTTGTAGTGTTTGTTTGCTTTATAATTGATCATTTTATTTACTTAAACTTTTATGTTCAGCTGTTGCTATTTTGAAGAAAATGAATCTTCCAAATGTTAAGTTGCAACTGGTAAGATTTCTGTTAACAAGTTATTAAAAGTTATTTTTTCAAATAAAGTATTATAATGTACTGTAATTTACAAATTATTGTAATCAAAGTTTGTTAAAATAAATTTTTTGGTAGGATTTATATCATCATCAAAAAACTGATGGAAATGCCATACAAGCTGTAATAGATTATTTTCCGTTCATAGGTATATTTGTTTTTCATACATAGGTAAATTTGTTTTTCATACATAAATTTATTTTTGATACAAAAAAATGTTTTTTGATGTTTAGAGATATTAAAATTTTTTAAATATTTTTTTTTAAATTTACTTTCACTTATTTCATTTAGTACAATTTTTTCTTTAATAAAGGTCACATTCAAATAGCTCAGTTTCCTGATCGTAATGAGCCAGACAGTCCTGGAGATATTAACTATCCAGAGGTTTTTAGACTGCTTGTTCATTTGGGATATACTGGCTGGATAGGATGTGAATATATTCCAAAAGGTATGAATGTTTTATCTAATATGCTATATGAAATTGTTTTAATGTATTTAAGTTAAATTTTTTACTTAAGATAATGGGGCTATTTGAATTACTTATTTTGATATGTTTTCCTTGTTTTTTTTGAAAAAAATTTTGACATTTTGATTAGCGCCTAAATTTTTTTACTACAACACAATATGGTGTTGAAATTTTAACTATAATAAGGACATCGATCTACTAATGATAACAACGCTAAAAGTGTTGTTATCATATATAGGTGTTCTTTACCACATGGTGTTTTTACCACAGGTGAATATGTATCATATAAAGCATTTAATCTTGTAATGCTGAAGTAAAAAATTTTTATCATGCATTTCCAAATGCGTAATTCCCAAAGTAATATACACAAGTGTATATTACATTATTTCTATGCAATGAACACTTGTGTAAAAAATTAATATACATTATACTTTACATATACAATCACAGACAATATTAAGTAATATTGTTGATAAATCAAAATTCAAACAATGAAAATGAAATTATTTATGTAAGGGTCTATATAACTGCAATAATTTTATGTTTTTATAATAATTTCAAAGAAAAACAAACTCTTTAACTCATTGCAAAACTCTATTAAATAAAATCAGCTTACAATTTTAAGTATTAAAAAAATTGAAGTTTTTATTATGAAATATAATGTTTTGTCAATACCTATTTATTATAAATATATATGAATATTATTAAAAACATTTGGTAAAGTTGTAAAAATATCAGAGATTAGAAACCAAAAAAGGTTCTTGAACCCTTTTTGAACATAAGGGTTCTGGAACCCCTTTCTCAGAACCTTAAATTTTCTGAAGCATCTGTGGAACATATTCGAACCAATAATCAACTATAATCTAAAAAAAAAATTTTATTGAACATTACATGAAAAAAAAATGAAATTAAAGAATCTATATTTATACATTAAATATATCTATACATTAATTAGTTTATCTATATCTATACATTAACCTTTTTTTGATAATTTACTAAATATAATTGATGTTACGTTTACCCTTTTCAGAAAATAAAACTTGGAAAAATATTTAGAATCTTATCATAAGGCATTTTTCTTAAATTATTCTGCATCAGTAATATATGAAGGGTAATATATGAAGCAGTAATATATGAAGAAAATAAAAATTAGCAGCAACACAAAACGCACAAATATATGCACACCTTTACAGGGTGGTCAGCAACTTTTGCAAAAGTCATGAAAAGGTCAAGGAAAATTGATGCACCTAGTAACAACGTATATATAGAGACTAAAAATAAAGTTATTTTTTTAATTCCTATTTTATTTTACTTTTTTGTTTAAAAATGTTTATTAAGTTAAAGTAAACTGTTTTTAAGAGAAATTCTAATATTTTGGTAAAGTTGTGAGTTTTTTTTTTGTTTTTTTTTATTGGTACATTCGTTAAATTTACATGCGTAAGTCATAGAAATTTTATTTTAGTCAAGGAAAAGTCAGAGAAAATGAAATCAAAAATTGTCTGGCTCCCTGCTTTAGTTTTAGATAAACCAGCTGAAAATATAGTTGAATAAGAAAGTGAACTTATTATTCCTCCATCTGGTCCAAGAAAATAAAATTTTTGTTTCATTATTAAAACATTCATAATGTAAGAAGGCCAGTTATGAGAATAAATTTTAAAACAATGTTTTATATAAATAACAATATGAAATATTTTCAGATCTACCTCAGATAAAGATACTGCCGTTAATTTCTTTCTTCCTCCAAAAAAAAATTTCTTTCTTCCTCCAAATAAAAATTTCTTTCTTCCTCCAAAAAAAATTTCTTTCTTCCTTCTAATAAAAATTAAGCAAACCTCAATTGAAGCTTTAATCAAAGATACCATTATTATAAAGAAACATATGAAAATGCTTTATTGGAAGAAATACCAATTAATGATAGACCATTTACCTTCATAAACAATAGTGGCTTAAGAAAACTTTTAGATCTGGCTGAGGAAGGTTTAAAAGTTACAATATCAACAGGCAGTTTAGAAGTACCATAGAAGTAAATGGAAAAAAAAACTGGAACATTTAGCATCAGAAGTAGAAACGTTATTAGATGTCTTCAAATTAAAATTAGAAAATATTCTGTAACGATAGATAATGGTTGGAACCTACAGAAAAACAGAAGACTTATTAATAATAAAGTAGAAACTTTGTTATTAGGAGAAGAGAATTTTGAGAGTGATGACCATAGTTGAGAGTGATGACCATAGTTGAGAGTGATGACCATAGTTGAGAGTGATGACCATAGTTGAGAGTGATGACCATAGTTGAGAGTGATGACCATAGTTGAGAGTGATGACCATAGTTGAGAGTGATGACCATAGTTGAGAGTGATGACCATAGTTGAGAGTGATGACCATAGTTGAGAGTGATGACCATAGTTGAGAGTGATGACCATAGTTGAGAGTGATGACCATAGTTGAGAGTGATGACCATAGTTGAGAGTGATGACCATAGTTGAGAGTGATGACCATAGTTGAGAGTGATGACCATAGTTGAGAGTGATGACCATAGTTGAGAGTGATGACCATAGTTGAGAGTGATGACCATAGTTGAGAGTGATGACCATAGTTGAGAGTGATGACCATAGTTGAGAGTGATGACCATAGTTGAGAGTGATGACCATAGTTGCAGAATATGATAGTGAGGAACAATCTGATAAATAATTATCACATAACAAGAAAAATGAGATGATGAAGATATTATTGCGAAAAATCAAAAAAAGAAAGTAGAGCTTATGAGTAAAACAATGAAAAAAATAAGAAAGAAATAGTGACTGAAAAAATTTGCTGGAAAAATTAAAAAGTTAACTATCCAAGCTTTGGAAATTTTGCATGCTTCATTGATTTAATTCTACCAAAATTTTGATAAATGTATTAGGATGTTCACCCCATGCTTTGAATTTAGTAGTTACTGCTACTGTAGAAAAGATATTTTAAAACAATGACTTGATTGATAGATTCAGAAATGCTAAAAAAAAAATTAAGAACATCACAGTACAATAAAGAAATAAAAAATAAGAATATAAAGTGACCAATTTTAGATTTTTTGACTAGATGGTCATCAACTTTTGATTTGTTACCATCTTTTATGTCATTGAGATTTATTATGTCATATTGAGATTTATTATGTCATATCGATAATGAATTAAGGGAAGAGGATGATACATTCGCATTCTCATTGAATGAATAGAAAACATTGCAGTTGTATCTTGATTCAATTCAACCTGCTACAATAGCAACCAAAAATTTACAACAGAACAATTAACGTTAGGCAATACCTACAAAATTTGGAATATTTGCAAATATGATTTAGAAAAAATAAAGGGCAAAAGTATGTTAGCTAAAAGATTGTATGAGGAAATAATTTGGAGAGGTCAAGTAATATTATAAATTAAGAAAAACTAAAAAAAAAAATGTCATTATCTCAGAAATATTGGGTCTAAGGTTACTAAAATTTAAAAAGGAAACTAAGTTAAAAAAAATACAATTTAGAGTTTTAGAAATCGAAACAGAAGACAAAAATGCTGCAGATCAAGATACAGCAAGTAAACTTTTACTTTTTAAGCTTTAAGCAAAAATTGTCCAAGGAGTTGCAAAAAGAAAAAGCTAAAGTTTATCAATAAACAAACTAAAAATAATCCAGTAATACAAAACATTAAAAAATAGGAGTAAGGTACTTTATTATAAGTATTACTTAAACCACTTTAGGTGAAAAAGGGGTTTTGGGGTTCAGAAACCTAATTAAGTGGTACTCCGTAATCCCTTGTGGTTCCAAACGCTTTTTTTAGACAAAGGGTTTTAGAACCTTAGTTTCAGAAACTCAGTTTAAGGAGTTCTAGAACCTTAAGGTTTTCCAATTTTTTGATCAAAAAAAGACCTTAACCTGCAAACAATCTGCTGAAAAATCAATTATCAATAAGTGGTGTTAAAAAGATGTGTATAAAATACGAAACAAATGATTCTGTTAAAAATAAGAAAAGACTTGGTTGCCTCCCTAAAACTTAAACAAGAACTGATATGCTAGTTGCACAGATAGCAAAAAAAAATTCAACTATAACCTCAAGACAATTTGTTAAAAATCTTAAATTAAATATTTCCAGTCGAACTTTTACAAAGAAGACTTAATTCAAGTTGTTTAATAAACCGTCTTCAGAAAAGTAAACCCCTCACTAGTGGTGTAAACAAAAAAAACGTTTAAGATTTGCAAAACTGTGATTTTAACAAGAGTGAGACATTTTAGAACTCATTGTTATGATCTGATGAAAATAAATGTCAAATTTTGGCTTGAAAAAACGTCAAAAAGTTTGGCACTTTTGCACCTTGCACTCTTAGATAGATATTATGAAAAAACTGTCAAGCATGGAGCTGGCTCACTTATGGTTTAAGGATGCTTTGCTTCAAATAGTGTGGGAATGCTAGTGAATGTTAAAAGTATAATAACAAGACATTTGTATGTTGATTTGTTACCCAAAAATTGTCAATCCGCTAAAGTATTAAATTTAGATCGCAGTTTCTTTTTTCAACAATGACAATGGCCTCCACAAAGCCCGGACCTTTACCCCATTGAAAGTTTATTGGCAATTTTAAAATCTCAAACACCAAAAAAAATTATGAGGTTATTAGTAAAACTTGGAATTCAATTAGTAAATTTTGTTTTTCTTTGAAATCAAGTTTAAAAATCAAATTAAAAAGTTGTTGCAGTTATATAGATCTTAACGTACATAATTTCATTTTTATTGTTCTATTTTTTATTTTAACAACATTATATTATTATTGTTATTATTATTATTATTATTATTATTGTTATAAATTTTCATGTGTAAATTTTAGGTTTTTTTATATTGATTCTTTTATTAGATCCTCAAACATCGTACAATTGGTTGCAGCAGTATTTATTTCGTTAACGAATCCGAGATCTTAGTTTTGGCTTTTGTTTTATTAATTGATTCAGTTTTATAAATGAATACACTTTATAAATAAATATAGCATTTATAATAAATAAATATAGCATTTATATTTATTATATCCTCGTTTCATTCAGAAAATTTTTAATCTCAAACTGCATCTTTTATTACGTAATGATTAACTGCACAATTTAAAAAAAGTTTGCTATAAGCTATAAGGTAACTTTTTTAGAATATACTACACCTTACGCCGAAATTCGTCTGTTTTTCTGTTATTACTGTTTAAAATCTTAAATTTTTCATTGATGTTTTTGTATATATGTATATTTTTTTAAATAAAGCTATATATAATAATTAGTACTTTAAATATAATAAACAAAAATAAAAATAATAACGTACTCAAAGTCTTTTTTTGTGATACTTTTGATACGGTTTTGTTAAGTATTAATATATTTATATATATTTTTAGATAAGTAGATTTCACCGTTGATTAATGGAAGACAAACTGTTCATTTATGAATTGGAGTTAAATGTTCCGTTTCCAACACAACGTTACGCTGAAATTGCCTATAACACATTGCGTGTAGATAAAGAGCCTAGTCGAGGCGGCTGTAGAAAAACAATTAGTGTAAACAAATGCATACTAACAATTGCATTAAAAGCGAAAGAAGCGCGAGTGCTGCGAACGGCTTCTAATTCGATTTTTGATCATTTATCATTGATCATTGAAACAATAGATAGGTTTGGCCCGCAAGTTTCATCAAACTCTTAAAACTGTTCATTGTAAACTTCTGTAAAACCTACGAAAGACCGTTTAGTTTATATGCTTGTTTTATTTTATTAAAAAAAAAAAAAACGTTTAAAATAATTTGAATAGTTTTAAAATGTTCATTATATAACATATTTGAAGAATGGTCAAAATGATGAGGTTCTACCGGTAAGTTTGAGACAGCATTATTAAATGTAAACAAAAACTTTATTTCAATTGGTTTTAATTTTAATTTATTTACAAACAAATACCCAATAAGTATTCGCACGCGTTTTTAAAAAGAAAAAGTCCATTTGAAAAAAAAAAGCCGAAGTAAGCAGAAAATTGGAAAATAAAAAAGCGGAAAAACTATTAAGAATTAGCAATTAGAAATTATATATGAGAAAAAAAAAGTTAAACTCCAACATACAAACAAGTTTTTTTTTTTCTTATTTATTTGAGTTTTCATGCTATATTTTTCTTTATAATGTTCTTATATCCAAAGATATTGTTGGCTTAGCATAGGAACAGCCACAAATATTCATTAAAACTAATCCAAAGTAGCGTCCGTTATTGACCAACATTTTTGCGTACCGAAGTACTACTCAAGCTGAGTTGGCGGTGGTGGGATTTGAACTCGTATCGTTCAACAGCCTGGGTTTTAACTTTTCCTTTAACGCTCTAACCATCTGAGCTATCCCGCCACATGTCTTTAATATCCTTAGAAAAATGCCTTAAATATCTTTAGAAAAATCTCTTTAAAAAGCTTAAAAAAGTTGGCTGCTCTCCCTTATTTTCTTTTTTTTATCTTTTAAAAAATTTTATCAAAGTGAATCGATTATACTTATCTATAGAGAAGCAAATAATTGCTTCCTTGACAGAGACGATTCTACGAATGAAAAGAAGGAGGGGGATGATCCTCAAAAAGTACCGACTGGCTTCTTAAAATAAAATAAAAAAAAGGTCCTCAAAACAAAAATTTACCTGACTAACCTGTGTCAAATAGCCGACTAAATTCGTAAAAAAAACCGACTATAACTTGAAAATCGCCTATTTCGGGGTGGGTGTGTGTGTGGATTAAGCCTTTGAGGACCGTAAGAATTACAAAAATAATTTTAGTAAAAGTAATGCATTTCTAACATTACAATGAGTTTAAATAACAAACTAAAGAAAAAAAAATTTTCCATTACAACTACAAGTGGAAATATAAGATGGGACAAATATGTCTCTATGGTCCTCAAGTGAACTATGGGTCACATTTGTTCCATATGGCAATCACATATAACAAGTTTCAATTCATTATTTTAACTCAAAATAAGTATAATATAAAAAAACTAAATAAAATACTAATAGAATACAAAATGCTTTGCAAAATTGTTCTACTTAGTGATCATTGTTAGCAGTTTTCTTGAAATAAAATAAACATTTTCAAATTTCTATTGAGGAGATATCATTCTCTTTACTGCGTGAATTTGTGAAATTCAGCAAAGCAATTACGTGTTTTAGTGTAGCACAGGCTCAAACCACATGTGTCACAGAAACTGTCAGTGCGGTTTTCAATACCATGCTTGGCACATTGAGCACATCGTTTGCGATGTTCTTTCCTGCTCAAGAAGTGTTGTGGTTTTGGTGTTGTTAGGAGAGATCTTGACGCTGACAGCTGCTAATGGAGCATTTCTTTGTCTGTTAGAATATTGACCAATAAGACTTCTTGCTACCATTTGTCTATATTGTAGTGGTGTTATTGACTTGTACTCTGAATTTCTCTCTTGATTGATTTGTACATAAATACAATGGCTGTTGTTCACAGCAATATCAAGAAGATCAAAAAAAATTCTTAAATAATACTTGATTTTAGACTTTCTATTAGTCTCATATGAGACTTTTTTTGGTCCATGAGGTCAACACAACCCATAAATTTGTTGTAAAGTGTAAAGTGTAACAATAGTTGGACATGGAACTCGTAACTTTTCTGCGCATCCTGCATTCCTCCTAAGAACAAGCGATACATCATCTTTTGAACATTGTGTAAAATTAGACAACAGAGTTACTGATCTATTATCCATCCATTTGACACAAGTAATCCCATTAGCTGTCATAGCATCCATGTCTCCTCGCTTCATTTCCTTGTCTGGTTTGAAGTTATTTGGCATATACTTTCTGTCAATACGAACAGTGCCACATAAATAAATTTTTTTTTGTAGCATGTGAACTTGTAATAGTGGCGAGTTAAAGAAGTTATCTATAAAAACATGACAACATAACTCTTCGATTTTTTTTGACAAAATGACAACAACACTCTCACCAAGGCCATATTCTGTGCTTACTTTGCGTCCTTTATAAAGATCAAACTGATAAAGGTAGCCTGTTACAGCATCACATCTGCACCACAACTTAAATCCCCACTTAATGGGTTTATTTTTTATGTATTATTTCATGATGTTTTGACCTTTAAATTTTATCATGTGTTTATCTATTGAATGCTGTTTGCTTGCTTTTCTGGCAGATTGGAAGCAAATATTAAAGTGATTGATCAACGGGCGGACTTTGAAAGCCCGATCACACTGTGGATGACTTCTTGGTAACATTTCATCATTATTTGCAAAATGCAATGCTGAACGAATTGTCTCAAATCGTAATCGAGGCATTGTATTTGATACAAATGGGACCTGAAGATCTGGTTGACTAGACCAATAATCTCTGATAGAGGGTAAAACATGGTAGCCCATAATAAGACGAATTCCAAAGAAAGCACACATTTCCGCTTTATCAGTCTGAAATGGATTCTCTTTTTGCTTCATATATAGCTCACTCTGTTCTATAATTAGCAAAACTAAGGTATCTAATTCAGTCACTTTTTCAAAAACAGAAAAAGTATCAATATCTGCTGATTCTTCAAAGTTGTCCATAATTATAGTCAAGTGTCTCAGGTCTGGTTTTTGATGTCTGCCTTTTCCACTTGAAATCGACATCAGGGTGTACTGATGAACCGACTGCTTTAGACTTGGATTTTATTGGTAGTTGTAGGTTCTCTTGTGTTTTTGGTACTGGAGTGTCATCAGACCTTGGAGTGTATATTGCTTTTGTTAATCGTTTAGGGTAAATTTTAAACTTTAATTGTGTTAATTCTTCTGGAATATTTGTGGTACATTTATGCTTTGATTTACAGTATGTCACAGCCTGTGACACAGGTTTGACCACATTATTGGTTGTTTTTATGTTACTGGGTTCGTAGGAAAGATCTGGTCGCTCTATGGCAACTTCCTGTGCAACAAAGTCAACATCTTTAAGTAAAAAGCTTTCATCTTCATGATCAAGAAGCAATTTCTCGTCATCATCATCATTGTTGCATTTGTCAGCAAATAACAGTTGCTGTATATCTGTTTCATTTATTTTAAATAATCGTTCGCAACCAAACATTGTTTCACATTTTCTATATATAAGAACTAAAAATAAACAAAACAACGTTATATGTAACAAAATTTCACTTGTTGACAATAGGGACAAATGAGTCCCATTTGCAAATCTGGCTACTAAATTAAGAGTTTTTAAGCAAAAATTAAAATAATTAGTAAAACTTATTAATAACATCCACATAAGCATAAAAAAAATTCAATAAATATCTATATCGATGCAACGCGTTCTATGGGGCGCCAAAAAAGTTTTTTTTTTTTTAATGCATGGTTGCAGGTTGATTTATTTACTCTTAAACTTGAAGAATGGTCAAAAAACATTATTATTTTAAAAAACAAACTTGTATTAATATAAAATAATTAATTTTGAAAAGCTTATGATAAAATGGGTAGATGTATTGCTTAATATAATGGATGGGACAAATATGTCCCATCCATTATAGTCCACAAAGGGTTAACACCCCCGTAAAATCGCCTCTGTTTCTTGATGATTAAAAATCCTATACTTTTATTATTATTAATATATATATATATATATATATATATATATATATATATATATATATATATATATATATATATATATATATATATATATATATATATATATATATATATATATATATATACATATATAAATATATACATAAATAATTATATATTTAAATATATATATTAGTCCTTGGAATTTAGGGTCAGTACTTAGGCTTTCCATATTTCACTTTCATTCATTTTCTCTACAAGTGACTTGGCGTTCAATCAACCTTTTTTAAATTACAGCTAAATATTAAAGTAATGTAATAATAGTTACACTTCTTAGCTTCAGAAAAATAAAAACCCAAGCCTAGTAAGATGCACCGTTTATTTTAAAATAATTTTTGTAGCAGCTACGGGTATCAAGGCTCTTGACACACATGCAAAAGAAGAAAGCATATAGAACAATTGCTTAGTGGTTAGGTTGTTTTGTTCAAAAAATTGTGCAATCAGAACCACAGACGCCAATCTCATCAAAACAAAATCAGATATGCTTCAAAAGGAAGCAGTTTTGAAAGCTGAATTAATTTCGTGTTTAGTTTCAAAGTTAGTTGGTGTTTGGCAGATATTATTATTATTAATATTATATTAATCACCCTCTGTAAAATAAATTTACAAGGTAAACACACAAACTAAGAAAAAGAGATTAAAAAATATTATTTAGGAATGGTTTCTTCAAGAGTCTTTTTAAAAATTGTTCGCTGTTCTTTTACATTCCAACATTGAACCGCGTGTACCAAAATATGAAAAGTAGCTTCAGGAATTACATCCTCTATGACTTTAAGTTTTACTTTTTTTTTAACCAGCAATAAGATTTTCATATTCAGTTTATGATTATCCCATAGTTCTTTTATATCATCTAAAAAAGAAAATTTAGCTGAACAGTAGTTAAGTTGGGAGTTAATGATTTCAAAGGTTACTTTATGGTTTAAAAGGCAGATAAATAGATTTATTTTGTTTTGGTGTATATAATTTGACATCTCCTTAATTTTAAATAGAGAGTGGATATAGTTTTTACTATACTTGGAGACATTTTATTGTTTAAATAAATATTGTTCAAAGCAAATATTCTTTTAGATCAAGTGAGAATAAGTCTAAGAAATTCATTTCATTGTTTCCAGATTATAAAGTTGCCAACGATTTTCTTCTGGTCAAACAAAATCTAACTATACAAAAATTCGGAAGATCTGAACAAGCTGGATAACTTGTACGTCTTTTTTATTAATCTTTCAATAAAATTGTAAAGAAAGGTCAAATAGACTTACATGTGCGATACTTAAATGAATTGATTAATACTGTTTGTACAAGGTATTATTCTTCAGAATTCATGGGAAAAACCGCTGCGCCAGATATAAATATGTTTAAATCCTGTATGACTGGTTTGAATGATAAAAAATGCTTCAGGTATCTATGAAAAGCCTACATGTTTTGTAGTATGGGGGAGAACCTTAATGAATGGAACAGTTTTTGTGAAATGCTCTTTTTAAGTTGATTAAGTTGTTTAATTTATACATTGAAAATAGTTTGATAATTATTAACTCTCATACCATAATGTACTAAAACAAAAAAATTGATTCCGCATATGCCTATTGGTAAAAAATGGGCATTAGTCCTGATCATTAAGAACTACTCATTGAATGGAACAAAAAAATTATTAAATAGGGCAAATATAAAAGGTAGAAAAGTGAAAAGAGGTCAGTAGTAAGTTTCAAGCCAGTCAAGCAGTAAATGCTGTTGATACAATTAGGGATGCCAAAAAAGCTATGCATATGGTATACTTGTACGCAGTAGAAGCGCTTTAAGAAACTTTTATTTTAATCAGAAAAAATGTCCGCATAGTGACAAACCTACCAAGTTTTTCTTTTAAAAACCAAAATAATTTACAATAAATTTTAATTAAAATAGAATATATGACTTTTTTAGATAAAACAAAATGTAGTGTAAAATCAAAAGGTTCAAGTTCAAGTTAAATTATTAGCTTATTAAATTTACTTTAAAAAACTCGTTAACAAAGCAACTTGTAAGATAAAAAAATTGCATTTTATGGGTTTAACCAACACACAAAAAGCAACACATATTGCTTCTCACAAAAAAAATCGCATGTATTTTAAAGGAAATGTAAAAGATATTAATAGTCAACTTCACATAATTCGCACTCGTGATAACGCTTATTATTGTTTTTATTACAATTACCACATATCGACCTTTAACAATTAAAACACTAAATTCAAGCAAGCCCAAAAAACTTTTCCAAATGCATTTATATATTTTGCAAGTATTTTGTTATTGTTGGTTGATGGGCGCATTTTTTTACGCATGACATAATTAAAAAATCTACAGTTTTCTATTACATTCACTTCTTTGAAGTAAATTTTTCTTTTTTGTTTTTATGTTATTTTCATCAGTTTTAACAATTTTTCTCTCATTTTCTGTCTTTTCTGGAGTTTTATATAATATAGTGTCTTTTGTCTTCTTTTTCTATAATCTTTTCTGCGAGATGCTATAGGCTATTGATATGGTTTCAGAGCTAACTATTTTTATTGATAATTTTAAAGAATCTACTTGACTATTTTTCATATAAATGATGATTATCTGGTTGTTGAACTACTGATTCCTTGACTGGATGAATTCTATCACTAACATAAGATGATATGAAATGACTTTTCCCAAATATTTTTCTGTCGAGTAGATAGGTCCCACCGACAACCTATTTTCTGTTAAAACAATTTGACAAATTTGCTTAGCTCCACAACTTGAAATAATCTTTGGAGGGTCTGTAACTGTTAATAACCACGAATCATCTGCATTAAAAATACATTTAGGTTTAAATCTATGTTTTAATTGAACTTTTAACAAATTATCAAAAAACATGGACACAGTATGTTTATTAAAGTCAGTTGAGCGAGCTAGGCTATCCAAATTTATCATTTCATAGTGATAAATTTGAATAGCAAATCAAAAACTGTCCATCCATTGTTTTCCTTTCATTTTATTTAGATGATATGAATCAGGTATATTTTGAATAATAGCATGCTCTGTTAAATTATTCTTTTTAAATCTTTATTGTATGTTATATAATAATTTGTTTGATAAAAGGTGATAGTATATTTTGTTGTATAAAATTCTTTCTAAAATTTTAGAAAAAACAGAGAGGATTGAAATTGGACGATAGTGTTTTACATAAGTTTATTCTCCTTCTTTAAATATAGGAATAATTTGTGTTATTTTTAAATCATCTGGAAAAACTTCCTGATTAATAGAGCATTTAAAAATTGGAAACAATTGTTTTTTTTTATCAAAAAAAAGATCATCTACTTTAATAACTGAAAGCAAGATTGCGACATTTTTTTAGCGTTACCAGCAATTTCGTTTATTAGTTGCCAAGTATGTTTTAAGTTTAATTTGTACTTTTTAAGTAAATCAGTGTAGTACTTTTTTTTTGAATTTTTCCTTAGGGTTCAATATATAATTGTATTATATACTAAGGTTAATAGTATAATCATATACTATATATTTCTGTTATTAGCAAGGTCTTTGAGTCTTTGATCAACAAATTCCTCACATCTCATCTTGAGTCAAATAAACTGCTGTCAGACAATCAATACGGTTTTCGATCCTCTCGCTCTACGGCCGACTTGCTAACTGCTGTACTGAAAGATTTTATCGTGCATTAGATGGAGGCGGTGAGGCTAGGGCTGTTGCTCTCGACATATCTAAAGCTTTCGACAAAGTTTGGCATGCTGGTCTTCTCCATAAGCTTGCTTCATATGGTGTTTCTGGGAAAGTTTTTGAGATTATCAAATCATTTCTTTCTAACCGGTTTATTAAAGTCATCCTTGAAGGCCAACACTCTT